CTCCCCTCTCCCCCCTCCCCTCCCACCCAGGGCAGCGCATGCGCAGCGCGCGGGGGCGGTGGGCGGGCGGCGCGCAGGCGCAGAGCGCGTTTCCTGGCTCCCTTGTCAGTGCCGGGTTCCCCCCTCCCCTTCCCCTTCCCCCTCGGCCTCCGCTGCCGGCAGCTCCGTCGCCCGCCGCCCGGAGCGGAGTCGCGTTGACTGACCAGAGTCCGCGAGTCCCGCTCCGCTCCCGCCGCCTCACGTGAGTCCCGCGCCGAGCCGACAGCCGGTGCCGCGGGGGTGGCGGCGGCGTTGGGGGGGGGATTTACCTCAGCGCGGAGGGGGGAGGGGCGCGCTCCGCCGTTACGGCGGGAAGGGGCGGGCGGGGCGGCCGCGCCGTGCGCTGCCATGAGGGCACGGCGAGGGCCCGGCCCGGCCCCTTCCCACCGGTGCTGCCGCGAGGGGGGCAGCCCGTGTCAGAGCCGCCCTGCTGCCCCCCGAGCAGCGGATTCGGGAGCGGGTAACAGCGCCGGGGGGAAGGGGCGGGCAGCCCTTAATGACCTCTCCTCCAGATGCTTGGAGGGGATGTAAAGGCAGCTGGAAATAGGCGGGGGTTGCAGTTATCCCACGTGCTGTCTCGGGAGCGCAGCCCTGCTCGGCCGGCCTCGTACTGSTCACGGAAGAGCAGTGACAGCAGCGAGTCGTGTCCATCCCAACCGCCCTCCGGTCGCCTTCCGTGCCCAGGGAGCTGGCCCTGACCAAGCGTGCAACGTTTCCATGGTTTTGTGCTTGTGCTCGAGGACACTTATTCCCCACTTAGAAAAGCCAAATGGAATAAAAGATTAGGGATACACAAGCATCTTGCTAATAAAGTTGGCTTTAAAGTGTCTCTCTCCAGTGAGAGATTCTGAGACCTCCTGGCTGCAGGAGGGTGCTAAGGGTTTTGCTTGATATCAGTTCTATSAAGACTCAGAGCAGTTTGTATTTTCTGTAGTAAAGTTGCAAGTTTAATCCTTTTTTTTTTTTTTTTTGGTCTGCGTTTTGATAAGAAATACATACAGCTGGCATATTTAATTGAGATTTATCTACCTAAAGAATATTATGCGGCAAGATCAGACAAGAGAAATGGTGGTGCTTTTTGAGGTTATCATCACTACTTTTAATGAGTCTGTGACCAAACCAAAAGAGGAGGCTGTTGCTTGGTACAGGTTATTGTGCTCGAGAAGTTTGTCAGTGAGCAAGGGTGGATCATATCTCTTGTCTAGATAGAAGTTTTTGGAACCACCAGTAGGTTACTAAGTTGAAAAAAAAAAAAGTAGCCTCAGCTAGATATTATTAGGATGAGACTGCGTCATTTGTAGATRGTGCTAATCTGTGGAGAGAATACCAGGAGAGTATTAGAAAATGTTTGGAAATAGCTATGTTCCTTGGGGAGGTGGGGAATTGGATTTTTTTTACGTTTTTATTTCGGAAAGAGTAGAAAAGGCTGAGCATTCCTTGTTGGTAGAACAGCTCTTCAACTTTTCCTGTATATGGAAATGTGCTGCTACTGCTCGTTGGCAAGTACGAAAGCAAGATCGTGGAAAAAGCAATTTGCAGACATGTTTTGCTTACATTAACACATGGAGTCGCAAATCATGGCTGTCCAAGGTCAAAGGTAACTCGGATTGTGTCAACATTCTCACGTTAATTAAAACTGCTTAATTATTTTGCTTAGCACTGCGTATATTTCATAGTTTCGTTTGGTCTGCAGAATACGATTGTTAGCAGAAGTATGAAATTCAGGTCGCTTAAAATCACGGACTAAACTTAAGGCCCATACATAACTGAAAATTTGAAGTATGTTTTGTAAGCAGTTTTAAGTCAAAGTTCTTTAAAACAGCGGTGCTTGATTTCTTCAGAGAAAACAAAAATCTTTTGACCAGTTTGTATTGGTGGGGTGCTGAATCATCTCTCCTTCAAAATTCAGCACTTTCAGTCTATGTGTTGTTCTCGTGGCCGGATAGTAACTGCTAAACTCAGTAAGAACTTACTCATCTTTCATTCACTCCTGAGTTTCTATTGGGTTGCCRTTCATTTCCTGTTTGCCTCCAAATTCCTACCTTGCCTGATGTCCCCACCCTCCGCTAACATGGCCATACTTGGGTATGTTGTAATTTCGGGCTATAATGGGTGTGGATATCTTGGAATGACATCACACAGATTTCTCTTTTTAGATGTATATGTAGAGGTAAAAAGACTTTGATCCACCAGCCAAGAATAAATTGCTATGAAATTTTGGTGGAATACATGGAAGGAGGAAGCAACTGGCAGAACTATGTTGTATCGGTTGAACTATGMACATTTAAATTATTACAGGTGACCTTGAGCTGTTACGATGTTATCTTCCATCCATTTATGCTGCCGTTGATTCATATGGGACAGAGCATATGATAAGAGATTTTAAACTGCTTTGTAATTGCTGGCCAGTGCTTCTCCAGTTGCAGATGTTCAGGCTTGTCTCTTTTGATGTGGTTGTAAGCTGAAGAAAAAATATGAATATCTAGCTTTTGGTAAATATTTTAATTATTTAAAGAAAAGACTAATTTAGCTTGTTCTCTTAGTGTTTGAATCTCTTGGGGAAGAAAACAGAACTATAGAGCAGTTGAATGCCAGTATTAATGTGAAGAAATTAGTCATTAGTTAATTACTAATTTTAGTAATTTTTCTCTAGGACACTTTTTTTTTTTTTTTTTTTTTTTTTTTGTCGGCAGATTATAGTTGTGTATTAGTGTTCTAGACCTGTCAATCTGGGCATCTCCTAATAGATAAAGATTTATTGTGGTGCTGCTTGTGAGCCTTAATGCACATCAGAGTTTGAGTCAATTCACTGAGATATGTACCTAGTTTTTTTTTTTTTTTTTTTTTTTTTAAATACTCTAATTTTACAGTAAAAATAGTGGTTTTGTTGGACTTGATCAGAACTTCACTCTCACCTCTGAGGATATACTAAGAAGCAAAAGGATATGCCTATTAGGGTAATTGCCATAGTAATTAGTAAACAGTATAGTAAGCAGAACACTTAAAATTCMTCTGCTTCCTAAAGTTAGCAGGGCATATGGCAAAGGCAGCTTTGTAGCACTCATGTAGCTACTGAGGAATTTGCTCATCTTCTATATTATATAAGGTGTAATACWGGACTCGGCCTTGGCAAATGTTAAAGACTTTTTTTTCTTTTTTTAATACTTAATCTGATTTAAAGTGTTGTTTTCACTTTTACATTTTTCAGCTTTTTCAATTTTTAAAACATAGGAATAACTCTTAATTCAGAATGTCTCTACATCAGTTTTTACTAGAACCAATCACCTGCCATGCATGGAACAGAGATCGTACCCGTAAGTGATTTCTTTTTTTTGCTTATTATATTCTCTTTGCTATCAGTCCATGATCTTGTAATGTTCTGGATCATTTAGAGGAGGTGTGGTCAAGTGTATATTGCTGCATGGTAAATGGTTAATTTATAATCCAAAATCTTCCAAATCTGCGGTTTTCTAAATCCGTTCTGGAGCTGTGACCCATGAGTGAATGTAGTTTTAGTAGTGTTCTGGAAGGTTTTTTTCCTATTGGYCTGAATCTGCATGAAAGTATGACCAGGTTCTTTCTTGTCTTTTTTTCTTTTTTTTTTCCCTTTCCTTTTTTGTCCTGCCCCAAAGCCAACCCCTTTTTTTAAAAAATAGTCTAGGTCTCCGCTATAGATTGGTTTGCTATGTTCAAAATATACTGTGCCTTTGTTGAGTGTACTCAACGCCATGCTATAACAATAATTATTTGACATTATCCTAGAATGTTGTCCTTTGATTTACAAAACACATGTAGTGCTCACAAATTTGAGAACAGAGATTATATTTTTGGAAAGTCTTTCCCAATAAGGCATTCGGTATTAAAAAGTCTTCTTTACTACTGGATTGTTTTTTGTCTCCCTGCAGAGATTGCCATTAGCCCTAATAATCATGAAGTCCACATCTATAAGAAGAGTGGGAACCAGTGGGTAAAAGCCCATGAGCTAAAGGAACACAATGGACACATTACAGGTAGGAGAACAATATGTTTTGCCAGGCTGAGGACATTGTWAAACTTTGTCAAGCTCCTCCTTCTCCCATCCTGAGTATCCAAATAGGAAATCTGAAGTGTTGACTAAATAGATATTTTCAAAATTTGTCATTCTCAGTTTATGGAGAGCTTTGTATCATTTCCCTGAACTACATAAACAAATGTTAGGGGAAAAAAGAAAGGCTTCAAGCCTTTCTTTGAGTGTCATTTATTTGATTCT